CTCCCCTAAAATTTTCCCCCCCCCCAGATCTCTATGAAAGATTCCATTCCAAGAAGAGAAGCGAGTCTGAGAATACAAATCAGACTTCAGGCTACCTGCTCTTTGTGTTCTGGTTAATTTGTCCCTTTGGGGCACTGAGGAGGCTTATAGACTTCGCATATAGGCTGCAGGCTGTCAGTTTCAATACTGAGACAACCCTGGGGATGGAAGGCTGCTATGAGGGGCTCAGTCAGGTATGTAGCTGCTGGTTTACCTCCTCTGCCTTCAGATGAATTCACTGGGTGCACTTTTGTTAGGCTCCTGCAGTATGTGTCTCAATGCCTAGCTCTCTGCATGCCTGATGAGGGCACTGTGACAGCATCCTCACTCCACTGCCAGGTCCTTCTTCCAGGAGCTTTCTGGGCTATGTGGACATTAAGCCCACTGAAGATGGGAAAGGCTGAAGGGAGGGAGACTCATGCTGTTCCAGGTCCTGCTTGTTATCTCTCTGGGTCTGTGCTGGGGCCTGTGAATGTATTGAGTGAGGTGGGCTGCATCTAATTTTAGGTTTTCAGGTGGGTTTTGAAAGAAAGGTAGTTACAGACTACAGTTTTAATAATTGTATTCTAACCTTTTCCTATGCTCTCTGACCCCTTGTAGATTGTAAAGCAAATGTGGTTGTTCAAATGTCATCTCTGTCTTCCTAAATGAGTTTACCTAACACAGCAGCTCTTTCCCACTTCCCCAGATGGATGTTTCAGTTTAGAGGGTATTCCCTTTCGGTTGTTGTTTTTGTCTGTCTGTTTGCTTGTTTGAAACAGGGTCTTTCTTTCTTTCTTTCTTTCTTTCTTTCTTTCTTTCTTTCTTTCTTTCCCTCAATGACACAATCTCAGTTCCCTCTCCCTCCCCTGCACCCCACCGACCCCCCCCCACCCCGACCATCCCACTCTTGGTCTTCTTCCCAGGGAGGGTGAGGCCTTCCTTGGGGGGGGTCTTCAATGTCGAAACAGGGTTTTTTTTTTTTTTTTTACTATATAGCTCTGGGTGTCCTGGAACTCACAGAGATCGCCCTGCCTCTGTCAAAAGGCAGTTTTAATCCCACATGCTGGCATAAAGGATGTGTACTGCCATGCCATGCTGAGGACTTTCTTATTTTTTATTTGGTTTCTTTTTAAAAAATCAGTTATATTAATCATACAATGTATAATTAATTCTGACCATAAATTCGTGGCATTCTTCTGCCTCAGACTCTTGAGCGCTGGGTTTATAGATGTCAGCTACCATGCCTAGCTCCAAAGTAACGGATTTCACTGTGGCACCATCATATATGCGTATTTCCCCTGCATCTCCCTTTCCCTCAAAGGACATTTTCTCGTGTTCCTTGTGGTGCTTCTTTAACACATATTTCAGCCTGCACAGCCCTCCCCAGGACAATGACTAAGGCTGGACAGCTTTAACTCTGCCTGGGCTTTTGGAAACAAAGTACTGGCTCTTGTGTACAGCCCCACTTGGGCCTCTGGTCACACCTGCTGCTGATGTAGGAAGTCTGTTCTTAGAACAGCAAGGAGGTGAGATTCCTATCCTGTTGTGGCCAATGTAGTTTCTGGGCACTGGATTGGCCTGCCCAACCCAGGTCCCTGCAGGGTCCCTGAAGCCCTGCTCAGAGTTGGGCCAAGCTCAATAAGGATGTAGGAAAAACACCACCTTCCTGGGTCTGGGGTAGCAGAGGCTTCCAGGGAACTTAGAAGTAGCTGGTGTGACATAGGAGGATGCCTTCCCTAAGGACTGCTGGCCTGTCCTTTGCCAGTGCTTCTGGGTTCATGCTTGCATTTCCTAGAAGAAACTTGAGGCAGTCCTGGCCCTTAGTGGTGATGTCAAGCTTCCTCAGTAAGCTATCACATGCCCTGATGCTAATAGCCAGGCACCCTGCTTGGCTCTGTGCCTTGAATGACCCTTGAGGTTGAGGCTCAGATATGACAGACCATCTTTTCTCCTTGTACTTGGCCATGGCCTTAGCAAACCAGAGAAAAGGGCAGTTCCGGCTACTTTCTCAACAAGCCCTACCTGGATCTTGGCTATAGGACCCCCTCCCTGACTTTCCCCTTCAGGAACTTAGAGAGAATGGTATCTTTGTTGTCTGAGAGTCACTGACACCCAGTGCCTATGGAGGGGCTGATGGAGCACAGCCAGGAGTCCAGAGTCCCCATCCTGGCTCCATCCCACAGCACAGGAATGGCTCGTTCCTGTTCAGCTTGCAGAGCCAATGATGACACTCAGGCTTTTCTTCCTACCATTCCCTTCCCTGGCACCTACCTGAAGGCCTTGCCCGAGTGCCCAGCAGGGAATGGACTTCCTTGGGAGTAGATCTGCTGGCTGCCTGATGCTGATGCTGAGCTCATCATCTTCTTCTCCGCTAGGAAAACCATAGGAGTTGCATGTGAAGGTCCCCCACTCTTGGGCTTCAGGCCATGCAGGGGAACCCCAGAACAGGGCATGGCAAGGGGACTTAGGAGGTTCACACAAGACAGCCTCCTCACCTTCACCTTTGCATTTCTCCCTGTTAGGTGGTCTCCTCTGACTCTTAGGGTAGCCCAGCCACTTGAAGGCAAGCCCTTGAGAATGGGGAAGCCACTATTGTATTTCGTCCTTCCAGTTTCATAGGGGAATACACAATAGGGAATATGTCAAGGGGTGAGGACACCCTGGGTAATCTCAGCTACCTGACCTGGGACCTCAGCTCTGCCTTTTGTATCACACCTGGGAAGCTCTTTGAACTCTCCCCTGCCTCAGTTTCTCCACCTGAAAGAGGAAGATGACTGCAGTGTCCTTCACAGGGCTGTGTGGGGATTCTGTGTGTTAGCAAGAGTAAAATGTTTACTGTGCTGGGAAAGCAACAAACAGCTTACACACTTGCTTTCACTTTTACAGACAAAAACAAACAAACAAACAAACAAACAAACAAAAACCAAAACAAAACACCAAGACACAACTTGAATCCCAGTCCAGTGGCCCTTTCCCGACCTGATCGGCAGGTGCTGAGGCGCACCTCAGACTGACTGGCCAGGACAGTTGAATGTTGTTGCCTGGCTTTTCCACCAGGGTCTCAGAGTGAGCACCTCATGAGACAGGGAACACTCAGACCCAGGATAGGTGAGGAGACTGCTCAAACAGGTCACCTGCAGAGAAAGGCTGAGAGGACTGGGCTCAGGTCACAGCTAAGCTGTCTAGATCTCACATAAGAAGGAAGGTGTTCTCGGTGGTGATATAAGAAGCAAAAACGGACTATAAACGGATGGAGCCTCTAGACAGCAGTGTCAACCAGAACACACCCCTTCCTTGGCTCCATGATGCATCCCTTGTGGCCATAGGGCAGTGGTTCTCAACCTATGGGTCTTGGCCCCCCACAGGGTTTGCATATCAGATATTTATATTACATTGCATTAAATATCTGATATCCTGCATATCAGATATTTATATTATGATTCATAACAGTAGCAGAATCACAGTCAACAAAGTAGTAACAAAATAATTTTTATGGTGTGGTGTTGCCACAACCCGAGGAACTGTATTGAAGGGTTGCAGCATTAGGAAGTTTGAGAACCACTGAACTAGAGTATCATGATGCCTACATGTCTCAATTATACAATCACTCTCAAGACCCTGGAAGGATGGAAATCAAGGCTGGATGCATGGCAGTGACTATGCAGCATGTATATCCTCTCCAAGGCCAGCTTGCCAGGTGGGTGTGAGAAGTAATGGGCTGTAGCCTGGGGTTGGGAGACCACACAGGAACCAAATAGCCTACTCCTATCTCTGTGTGGGGCTCTAAATAAAGCCCTTGTCACAGTGAATCTATGGGGGTATCCTTAAGGGGCAGGAGCTCAGTCTGCAGTCTAATTGAAAGGCCTTGAGGGTGGGGCACGAAGAACAAGACTTGAGCAGGGAGGAGACAAGGCTAAAATGTACATTGTAAAGACAAATCAGGCCACCATCTTGTCTATAAACAATTCACCAAGTCTGGAGGTGTAGTCTGAGTGACAGAGCTCTTGCCTAGCTCTTCCCTTCTCAGCACCACACAAAACAGGTGACAGTCAGTCAGACAGGTCAACCAGCACTGCAAAAAGCCTGACTTTATGCAAGTTACTTTTTTTCTCATGCTTTTGGTGGTAAATAATTGTTCTATGTATGTTCCTGGAGTTTGGTAATGTACATTGCTTATACATGTACCTATATATGTTTATATATGTATATGGACACAACGATCATATATATATACATCTTAATATATATATGTATATATATACACATACATATTATCTAGTCTTCTAAATCTTTCCCCGTTTTATTATTTTCATCTACTCAATTTGTTAAAAACGAGGAAAGGCATTCTGAGTTCTACTTAGTCTTCTTTTTTTAAATCAGTTTCTTCCTGTGTTTGTAATTGTTTTGGATTTTCTGTTTTAAAAGTCCATGAGATTTATAGCTAGCTCCGGCTCCATGTCCTCTGCTTACAGGGACATTCTGAAGTCTATTTCTGGTGACACTGTCACTCTACTTCCCTGCTTGGGTTCGAAAGCATCTTCATCACTCGCCCCTGAGGGCTCACTAGTTCGTCTCACTGTGTTTGATTATGTTGAATTTTGACAGCATGTTAATTGGGGCTTATGGATCTGTAGTCCGTGAATATCATCTTGACTTATCATTCTTGATACTCATGTTTTCTTGCCATCTTCCTTTATATTCCTTCTGGAATTCCTGTGATTTTTCTAAGTTTCTCCTCTAACCAAGTCAAAACAACCTTCTCTCCCTCTTTTTCTTGGGTATTTTGTTAAAGTGGTGAGGTCTGACCAGCGACAAAGGCATTGCCTAGTGGATTAGACTTCATTGCTCTGACCCTTTACATTGTAGAGATAAGATGCCACAGCTTGAGGTTGAGTGTCATATGTGACAAGGAAGTAAGAGGCGAGGACAGGAATACAGAGAATCTGTCCTGACTCCTGTACAGGTTCTTATGTCCTGTGGCAGTTACACAAAAGTCACCTTTCCTGCCCTTATCTCTAGGGTGGCTATCTCCAGATGGTCTGAAAGCAACTGCAACCCACAGCCTCATGGCTTAGCACCGTCTGCCACTTACATGCACTGATGCCTGCAAACATCTCAGCAAAACGGGGGTCTCTCTCTTGGGAGAAGATTGCATCTGCCTTTTCCACAGACTTCCCTGCCTCATGAACACTGGCAGGTAGGTTGGGTACAGGGACCTGTTGGCACATAAAACACAGTGACAATCCACACATAAGGCACTCTTTCCAAGGGTCACATGTTGTCCTTTGCATAGTCCCTCTGGGAGGAGAAGCTAGTGTTTCAAGACTTGACTATTCTTGCAAGGTTGAGAACTAATTCATGAAGATCAAGGGCACCTGGGTTCGGAGGTGTGAACTAGGGGTTATGGGAAGAATGCCAGAGTCACAATGACTATTTTCTTAGAGATTAATGTAAAAGAACCAACCCATTATAAACACCAGGAAGAGAGCTGAAAGGTTAATTTGGGAATGAGGCCAGGTACTGACCCATGTCAGTTTCTCTGAAGGCCAGCTGTCAGAAGCAGGAACAGAGACAGGAGGAGAGACGAGGGACCAGAGGAGCTGAGAGAAGGAAAGAAGGGACACAGAGTATGACAGGAAGAGAAATGTTAAAGCAAAACAGGCATGGGAGCAAAGTTGAGAGAGATGGCTAGGAAGCCAGAGAACCTAAGTCCAGAGCTTGCATTTGCTGGATGCACCTGTGAGACTGAGGCCCATGATGGGATTTCCCACTTTCCCTAGAGATGCAGTGTGGGATGACCACAGTTCATCTACTCTCTACCTACTTCCTGCTCCACGTGGTTCACTTCAGGAAGGAAGAGCTACAGGGACACCAGGAACCAAATACTATTAGTACCCCCAAGGCTGAATGGAACAGAGTGCCTTGGGATGTGGGGCATGAGTGTAGTTTTAGTTTAGTTTGGTTCAGTTTCGTTTAGAGTGGGGATTCTGGGGTGAGTTAATTTTCAGTCCTCTCAGTGTCAAACAGAAAAGAGTTTTCCAAAATTCACCTGAGATAAGTCATACGATGATAGCCCATCTCGCTGGTGTACCTCCAGTTCTGCCTGCTGTTGCTGCAGCTGCCTGTGAAGTAATAAGTCAACACAGTGTGAGGAACAGAAAGGTAGGGGCAAAGGGGCTAATGTAGAAATCACACTCCTCAAAGTCACCACATACCAGATCTCTAAAAGGCTTTCCGCTTTTATTTTACTCCAACTCCTGTATTTTGGGGTTAGATTTCTACAGGAGCTGTTGAAAAGGTAAGGTAAAGTAAGTGTGTGTGTGTGTGTGTGTGTGTGTTCTGTGGGTGTGTGCATGTGCATGTAGAAACCAGAGATTGGCATCAGGGGTCCTCCTCAGTTGTGTTCCACCTTTTCCTTTGAGGCAGGGTCCTTCACTAAACCCAGAGCGCACCAATTGGCTAGACTGGCTTGCCAATGAGCTCCAGGCATCCACCTGTACCCTCCCCGGTTGCTCCACGGTTATGATAAGCTGTTTACATGGATGCTGGGGATCCAAATGCAGGCTGTCATGCTTGTACTGTGCTTTATCCACTGAGTCATCTCCTTAGCCTTCAAATTCTGTTTCTGAGGCAGGGTCTTGCTATGCACCCTGGACTAGCCTGGAATTCTTGATCCTCCCAATTCGCCTTTCCACCTCTAGGAGGACAGACAAGCGCCACCATGCCATCATCATGCCTGGCTCAAACAGTAAGCACTGAAATTGTTTTAAAAGCAAAATTCAGGGAAGCAGTTGGTTTAGCACTTAGCAAGGTTGCTGGTTGAAGTGTGCACACCTGCCATCGGGTGTACATTTTATTCATGCCTCACACTGGATTTTCATGGTGGCTATTTCATCCACATGCTAAAGTCAAGAAGCTGGAGCTGAAGCCTAGGGTTAGGTCAGAGATGTTTTGCTTAAAGCACAACAGGATCTGACTTCAGGGTTGATTCCAAGGTAGTTAGCTCCTCCTACTAGGCTCCTCCCACTCTGTCAGGCTCTTCCTACTCTGCCAGGATGTCCTGCTGGGGTTCTGGGAAATGACCAGCACCTTCAAATTTTAAAGTAAGGAGATGCTTCCAGTTTTTAAAGTAGGGAGACTGCTTTCAGGGAACAGCGAAGCCCACAACTCAATACTACAAACAAGGTAGAGTGTAAGGAACTCAGGTCCAGATACCCCAATGAGGAGGCTCTGTTGGTGGCCCGGCTGAGCAGCTCCTTTGGGATCAAATTCAGAAGTCCATTCAGTGAACTATGCTGAGGCAAAGAAAACCACCATACCCAAATCCAGTTCTGATGATTCAGAACCCCAGATTCCTGCTCTGGTGGAGCTAGGTCTCCAGGGGAGGACAGATGAGAAGACTGAGCTTCTAAAAGAGCGAAGGATTTCTCACTGTGGTACAAGAGCCCAGGAACAAAGGCAAGGATGGAATCAGAAGCATGTGAAGTCCTACCAGGCAGTGGAAGCCCATGCCTCTCACATCAGCAAAGCAGAGCACCAAGAATAATTTTCAAAACAAACTGAGATTTCAAAACCTTTAAAAAGAGTGTTAGGATGTAATGTAGTTGGTAGAGTGCTTGCCTAGCATGCATGAAACTGTGGGTTTAATTCCTAGTACCACATAAAAGCAGTCATGGTGACTCGTGCCTGTAATCCAGCACTAGAGATACAGAGGCAGGAGAATCCATAGTGCAAGGTTATATTCAAGACCATCCCAGGCAACATGAGACCCTTTCTTAAATATTTTTAAAAGAATCAATATAATCATAACTATAAAAGATGCATCACTGTCCTTCCTTGTTCTTACTCCATTATCTGCTTTGTTTCCTGTTCCCTGCAAGTTGGGGAAGCATGATGGCTCACTGGCAGGCTGCTAATATCTGAACTGAAGACAGATCATCAGTGCTTGGCTAACATTTTATATCTTTACAATACAATACTATCAATTATCAGATAAAGGAGATGAGGGTCAGCAAGCTTAAGTAGTTTTCCCAGTTGAATGTGACACAGAAGGAACTCAAATTCAATTCTGCAGGGCTGTGGACCTTGTACTTTTCCCTCTGCCTAGCCAAGAATAAACATTCACCACATCCTAGGGCTCCTGGGGGACTCTGGACACCTGGCATTGACTTGGTCAGGGTAGGGAATGGCATGACCCTTTGTCTGTCTGTTCAGAGAAATTGCCCCTTTGCCATGTGGGTTGTCTCAACAGCAGCCTGATGAAGGTGACCATCACCTGAGAGATCACCAAGGCCTCTACTGGGACAGAGGAGGATGTGTGCTAGGGTCCTGGGCAGCACCTGGAGCTCTGGTTCTCAGGTTCTCCACCGAGGGGAAGGTAAGGCAGGGGCCAAGATGATCCCTGGGTTTAGAGCCTGGAGCTGGAAGAGTCTCAGCCCCTCATTGGGTGGAAGTTCTTGCCTGGTTTGCAGAAAGACAGCTCCAGCCAGGAAGACAGATGAGGATAGTGTCTTTGCTTCCAGGACTCACTCAAGGTTGCCTCCTGGGCATGCTCCTTAGGCTCTGGGGGTACAGTCTATACTCTAAATTCTGTAGAGATTACATACAATCTTCTGCTTCCTTTTGCATTCACTCCTTCTCCACAGTTTCCACCTACTACCAAGCAGGTAACCACTGCTATCACAGAGTATGTATGATCATTGACCAGCTGGACTTTGGGCATGGTGGGACTTTAAGAACTTGTGTTTGTACACAAGACACATACATCTACACCCATGTATATACACACATGGATGTACACAGGTACATGTGCATGTACACAAACACACCAGGAACTTGTGTCATGAAAACCTGAGACAACCTCAGACTAATGCTATTTTAGTAACAGAGGCTTGGCCCAAGGAGGATTGCATACCAGTAGCCTGAAGAGAGGTAGGGAAATGAAAATCCAGGAGCGAGGCTGAACAAATGTGGAAAGATGAACATGAATGGTACCTAGTCAGCCCAGGACTGGTCTCTCAGAGAATCAACTCCCTAACACCAAGACTTGGCACAGCTCAGAGATGTGCACCCAGTGTGTTGCATCAGTGTGTTTTTCTGGGCTTCCATCTGTGTGGAGGGAACGGGAAGAAGTCAGGGTTGACAAAGAGCCTTTTCAGTAGCTTAGCACAAATGCTAAACACCCGGTGCTTGCTTCACTTCTTCAGGAAGTTGCTTTTGGATGCTCTCAGCTGAAGGCTACCGAGCAAGCAACTCCCCCTCCTCCCGCCAAGCAAGCACAGGGCATTGGAGAATCTTTCCTAACTAGCTGGCCCTTCTGCTGGCAAAGCTGACCTCACAAATGAAAGAAAGGTTGTCTGCTCACATGTGTGGCCAGCACTGCCCTCTACTGTCCACAGTGAGCTTTTCAGCCTTGCCACTGAACACCTGGCTTAGAAAACTGATGCTGCGTGGCTGCAGCTGCTGCATGTATCTCTCGGAGCTGCACAACCTCCAGGAGCTGCTGAGAATGACTGGCCTGGGTCAGCAGGATGGCCCACCCCTGAACAAAAGCTTTTCTGTCTTCTCAACACTGCCTGCCTTTCAGAAAGGAAGGCCAACCCTCTCAGCTGGGCCTGGCTTGCAGAGGAAAGTGACTTTGCTTCCAGGCCTCATGTCAGGGCTGCCTCCTGGGGGACTGGTTTGTCCTCTTCATCCTCTGTACTGTCCACTGTCCCCTGTCTCTTGTCCCTCCCTACCCATGTTCTCATGGGTTTAAAGCCCAAGCCTTAGGCCTCCTGGGACCAGGTTTCCCCTTAAGAACACGAATGGTAATACAGGCATCTTGACTGGCACAGGCCATGTCCGGTCATGGTGATCAGGGAGTATCAGCTTCATTAGTTGTGACCAAACATGTGACTCGGACAGCAGAAGGTTTACAAAGACTGGAAGAGTGCCAAACATCACCCAACAAGGAGGTCAGTCTGCTCTTTCAACCAAATCTAGAAAGCAGCTGGATGCCCAGCCAAGACTCAGGGCTGTCACTGTGATGGGGTGGCTCTGATGTAAGACAGAATCAGCTTCATCAACAGGGTGGATTTAGGGTTGATGGTGTGATGCAGATGACACCCTCAAAGCCCAGGAAACAGCCTCACCCACAGGGAGTAGGCAGCCTCAGGGCCCCTGCTGTGTATAGGCCTGTGTACACAACCTCGTGTTGTAAAGGAACAAAGAGGGATAAGGGGCAGAGGAGGCAGAATCTAGGAGGGGTGGCTTTCCCTAACAACCAGCCAACCTGTTGGCATCCAAAGGAGGAAGATTCTAGAATAGTGTCCAGGACTCTGAGTAGTTGGTGTGTTTGTCTATTTCTATGACTACTTGACTAGGCAGCCTGAATTGGCAGGTGTGGAGCCATATTGGGAGAGACAAGCCTAAGGGCAGAGATCTGGCTTGCACAGGTGCTAAACAGGTCAGGGCTGGCACTGTCCTTCTCTCTCTCCTGCTAAGGACCTCAAAACAGCAACCAGGGCTTCCCTGGCCCTGTGCTTGGCTCTACTCCCATTTCTCAACCTTCATTATTTTAGTCAGACCTAGGGCCAGATTTGGGTGTGGCACTCAAGGGTATCTTGGCAAAGAGCACTTCTCCTCCACATTGTGGCATTGATGTGGAGAAACAGAACACCCTCAATTTGATTAAAAACCCAAGACATAGAAGAAGACATAGAAAATTGAGATAAGATCATCTTTTGCCCATCTGGACATATGGCTTCTCATATTTCTTCTGTTCCATTTATAGGTTTGACCGGCAGATGGGGTAGAAGAAGAATCCAGTTGTACCAACTACACAAAGGGAGAAGATATCTAGAAGGAGAGCTGGACCAGAAGATAGCTGAGGGAAAAGTACCTGGGAGCAAGAGTTATGTGCTCCAGATGGCATGCTAGCAGCTGTTGGGCTAGTGTGAGAGCCAGGCTGCAAGGGCCTGGGACAAACTGAGTGGCTCAGCAAGGCCTGGTGGGAACAAAAATTGCTCTGATGGAGAGGCAGGGTAGGTCCTTAGAAGGATCCCCTAGTATCAGGGATGGGGACTAGAAGGCCATGGGCTCAGGACCAGCCCTGACTTAAATGGGAAATGGAGGTCAGGAGGTCCAGTGCCATGAGTGACAGACACAAGGGCAGTATGTCAGCCTCATTCTACATCTTTTCATCCTAGACATGGCTTCCATGTGCTTTAACTCTTGGGGATACCTTTGTGTCCACACGTTTGCATGCGTATGTTCCTTGCTGGGTACAGATGTCCCCTAGGTCACACCAGGGTTACACCTGATTAACCTAGCATAACTGTGTGGTTTTGCAAACCAAAAAAAGCACCACTGTCCCTAACTCATGGCATCTTAGCAACACACGTAGAGTGACAGGTATTTTCTCTTATGTGTGGCTAAGTGGAGCCACTGCTTACTGCCAAAGCTTGGCATCCTCTAGCACATTGCTAGCACAGGGAAGGAGCAGATTCAAGTCCAATGAGTGATTTCCCTTAAATGTGCAGCATTTTCACAACACAGCAAATTCAAATTACAGAAAATGGGGGACAGGTAGAATGCTGAGACTTCCAGGCTAGCTTTGTCTATATAGTGAGGTCTAGGTAAGCCACAGCTACAAAAAGTCTCAAAATAGTGTAACTAGAAGCATCTGAAATCAGACTTCCTCTGCATTCCCTCCACATTTGATGTGAAGAGGCAAGACCTGACCACAGCCAAACTTGCTACAACATATAGAAAGCACTGTGTCCACAAGTCTGTTCCACAGATTTAAGCTTACCTCCGGAAAGGAGGGGCCATGGGTTGGGGAGATGACATAGTTAGCAAAGCATGAGAGCATGTCTCAGCATGCATGTAGACAATTAATCCAGGCTCAGCAGTGCTCATGTGATCCCAGCACTGGGAAGCAGGGTCCAAGCCTGGCCAAAACCGTGAGCTGCAAGTTCAGTGGAAGACTCCATCTCAAAGGTAAGGGAGAGCAACTGAGGAAGACCTCAGATGTCAGCCCCTGGCTTCCAAATACATGCCCATGCCCATGCACACACACAAAACAGAGGGCCATCATTTCATGTCACAGAAAAGGAAGTGATGGGTAAGAGAGGAAGTGACTTATGTGACATCACAAAGCCAGGAACGAGCAGGGCCAAGGGAGAACTCAGGTCTATCTGCCAACTCCATGGATATGGAACGTGTACAAAAGTAGGGGTCCCGGGTGGGTAGCAGGGGTACTTCTGGGCTTAGGTGGTGGTACTAGGTGCTACAACAAGCTGCCTGACTTAGCCAGAGCTTCAGTCCCTTTCTTCCACCCACAAGCTTCAGCAGGACCAGGGGTGACTAGCACAATAGGATGCGGAATTGGGCACTGGCAGAGCTCTTCTCTGCTTGGCTTGGTATCAGGAGGAAAAGAATGGAATGGAGACTGTGGTACCCTGACCTGAACATGGGAGAGATGCATGTATCCCACAGTAACAGGAACCCAGAGTCTCCCCTTTTCTTCCTCCTTCACCCTGTAGGGGTTTCAGGCTGCAGCTAGAGCTCGTGGGGAGAAGGGAGCCTCAAGCAAAGCAGTTCGGGATGCAACTCATATGTGAATAACCAGCAGAAGAGGGGGCTGTGCACGTACTTGACGTTGGTGTTGGTGCAGATGACGTACTCGATCTCATCGGAATAGGGGTTCTGGAAGGTGAAGCTGCTGGTACGGATCAACAGCCACTCCCGGTTCTTGGTGCGGAACCGATACATGACCGACAGCACTTGGCCCTTCAGCTTAACCACCTGCAAAAACATTTGGACAAGGAAGTCAGCAGGAGGAGGAAGAGGGAATGGCTAGGCAGTGTGACTGGTTGCTGAGAAGGCCAGCAGGACCTCAGAGTGGGCTGCTGCTTCCAACCACAGTAAGGGGGGGGGGCTATGAGAGTAAGAGTGACAGGTAGAAGCTAAGCTCTCACTTCCATCTGCTTCTCTTTGAAACGGGGAGGGCACTGCCCTTGGGTCATTCTGCCATCTCGTGTGAGAGACTAGTAACAGTCAATGCTTCTAATTTAGTGGATACAAATCAGATAGTGAGTACGCCATATGAGTTGTATTTCTTCCTTTCCTTTTCTTTTTCTTCTTTTTTCTTCTTTTGCCTTGGGCATCACTAGGGTTAGGTGCTAGTACTCTTTGGAGTAACTGTCTCACAGAGCTATGCAGCTACAATGCATCATGGACTCATTTCTTAGATGGACTTAATTTACATAAGATTTTAACCTCTGTTTGACATTGTAAAATGAATCAAATAAACTCTCAGGAAGGAGGTGAAATAAAATGGTAAATCTGTATGCATTATTTATGTGCATGTATTGATCTGCCACTACTTTCATGTTGCAGCATGATTTCCAATGTACTTTCATGGACACCCTGTAGTGCAGCCCAGCAAAGGTCTGGAGAGGTGTCTTCCCTATTTAAATATGATAATAACAGGATGAAAAGAAATTAATTAAGTTCTCCAAGACAGCTCTGGTGGCAAAGAGGTGACAAGAACTATGATCTTATATCCAAGTTACAAGCTTATCTCTCTGGGGACAGCTTGCTTTTTTTTCTCCGTTCACTCACACAATACAAAGTTATACAAAGACATCCACCCACTAGCAGCTGGAAGCATCCAGGTGTTGGTCTCACAAAGAGAAAGAAGTGGGAGAGAGAGAAGCTATAGGAATGACTAACAGACCTCGCCTGGCTATGATTGTCCCCAAGGACAAGATAAGGCAAGCAGAAGTCCTTTTTGTCGGCATGCACACCCTCACACCCTGGGAATGGAAGTCTTCAGTATTCCTGGGTGTGATCTCAGATGGACTGTTGACAAGAGCAGGGCCAGTTTCTAGAGGCTGGCAAGGTCAGACTCCTCTTAATATTACTGCATTTGAATCCTGCTTCCCACTGGGAGTCTGCGGCTTCTACCATACTGTAGACAGCCTGGGGACATGGTGAGCTGAGGCTCATATAGCCCAGCCAGTGCCTGGCAGAGTAGTACCTATATCACACCTCACAAGCTGGTTTCATGGCCCTGGTCATCCCAGACCGGAGCAGAAGCAGCTACGTGACTTCTCCCACACTGTATCTAGAGAAAACCAGTCACAGCCACACTGAGTATCAAACAAGACCCTCTTCAGAAATATATGAGTGATCAAAATGCCAGATAGAAAGCTAGAAGGAACAGAGGTCTTCTTTATCACCTCTGGGGGTAAGGCAAAGCTGGCCTGCTCAGAGGATGCTGCCTCATAGAAAGTTGGCCCATGTCTAGTCACTGTTATACTGCTGTGCAGAGACACCATGGGACTTGGCAAGGCACATGTAAGGAACTTGCTTACAGTTTCAGAGTCTTAATGCATTATGATCATGGCAGAGAGCATGGCCCCAGACAGACACGGTGCTGGAGAAGTAGCTGAGAGTTATATCCTGGTCCATAAGCAGAGAGAAGGGTGGGGGAGAGAAAGGGAGGAGGGACTTTTGAAACCCCAAAGCCCACCCCCAGTGTGGTGCTTTGAAAGAAAATGGCACCCAAAGGGAATGGCATTAATGAGAAATGTGGCCTTGTTGAATGAAGTAGGTATGGCCTTGTTGGAGGAAGTATGTCACTGTGGGGTGGGTTTAGGGGTCTCCCGTGCTCAAGCTATACCCAGTAAGGCAGACCACTTCCTGTTGCAAGTCAAGAAGTAGGGCTCTCAGCTCCTTCTCTAGCACATGTCTGCCTGCTTGCCACCATGTTGTACTTTGATGATAATGACTAAACCTCTGAAAATATAAGCCACCCCAATTAAGTGATTTTCCTTTATAAGAGTTGCCTTGGTCATGGTGTCTCTTCACAGAAATAGAAACCCTAACTAAGACACCCAGTGACATACTTCCAACAAGGCTACACCTCCTAATCCTTCCCAAGTAGTACCATTACCTGATGACTAAACATTCAAATATATGAGCCTATGGGGGGCATTCTTATTCAAACTACCATAGTCAGCTAACAGAGACATCCCTCTTCCCTCAAAGGAGTCAGAGGTCAAAGCCTCTCAGGTCAGAAGGCTAAGGGCTCCCTTGGTGCCTACAGCATATATAGACCACCCTCCTCTGTCATGAGTGTGTGGAGGGGGTGTGCTTTCTCTTTCTTCCAATGGAAATAACTGAGGGGGTGTGAAAATTTTTCATGGTATGTCATAGACTAGTAACAGACCCTACTTATATACAAAGCTGGGCTATGGGGCTGAGGATAGAGAAGAGAGGAAGGGGGCTGCTGGTCCTGCCCCTTCAGTCCACAAATCCTCACAGCAGTATAATCTGTATTAGGAACATGACCTTCAAAGTTGTTAGACAACTGCTGAGGCTTTGTAACCACAGGCAAGGAAAAGCATGGTCTGAATCCTTGCTTAACCAACCTTGACACCCTGTCTAGAGTCCCCATTGCCACGGTGAATGCTTTATTCCAAAGTGCCTGTCACCCAGCAGGGCTGGAGAGATGTGTAGATAACCATAACCCACACAATCTGCTACAAACTCACAATCAAACTCACAATGGCAGGGGCTTACTAGGAGGGTTAGGAGTTGGGACCTATTGTTGATGTCCTGACATGAATGAAGGGTTCCAGAAGGGAAATGAAGCTTTTGAAAGAGTTGGAGGGTAGGTGTGATGCTGGCAAATGAGATTGTTGGCGCTCTTTGAGGAAAGCAATTGTGTATAGGCAACAAAGCCGGGAAGTGATGGGGGATTGAGCTATGCACGTGAGCAGAGTGTCAATATGATCTATGTCTAAGTCCACAGTGACGCATCCTATTGTGCTTCACTCAAGTGTGGGGCTCGTAACATAAGGGACTGCGAAGATAATAAAACCTAGTTTAGCTTGGGTCTTCATAAAAACA